TCAGCAGGGCACTTTTCCTAGGGAGAAGAAAGTGCTGGGAGGATAGAAGGGGATAGCAGGGCACAAAGAGGGAAAATGGTCAAGGAACAAGAATTATACCATTTGCAGGTTTTCAAAGCAACAGCTTCTACAAGTCAGACACCAGAGGTGGGAATAATTTTTAAACAGGGTTCTTAACCATAATATGTAAGCGTATAAATGGAGAAGTACGTAGCTGCTTAATCTAGCATTGTAAGGTTCCCTGCCTATAGTTAGATAGAGTCAAATTAGACTATTTATTTGCTTTTTTCAAGTGTAAATGTAATTAATAACCAGAATGGTTTATTTAAGACGGTGGTGAATTTTCTATAATTTTAAGATTAAATCTTCATTGGTTATCTTTCTAAAATAATGTGCTTTGTGAAACCTATGAAAAGGGCTTTTTGTGAATATGGTAAATCTCAATAGGTGAAAGAAAAGTTTGCAAAGTACTCTGAAGACAAATTGCTTGAATTAGACTACTGATAATGGTATATGCCCTTCTGCTTTGTCCAATGCCTTCCATCTTAAGAGTGCTGTTCATTGTAAAAATTTTAAGAATAATTTGAAGACCATATAATAATGATAGTGTGCCCTGGAGCCATGTCCTTTATTTCTTTTTTCTTCCTTCCAAGAATGCCAGAAGTATATGGATTTTAAAAAATAAGCCAGAACTGTTAAACAAAAGAAAGAGATTTTGTTATATTTCACAGTAGAATTATTCAGGACTTGCACTGAATAAAGGTACAATGCTTACAAAACGCAAGTTCTATGTGTTCCCACCAATGAGAAATCCTAAGCTGTCTGATTTTGTAGATCTTAGTGATACCTCTTGTAAGATACTGATTTTGTCGTTGCTACGTGTCTTGTGAAATGCACAATATTCAGTCTAAGCAGAACAAGCGTTTCATTTTTACTTCTGCTAGCGCTTATGGTGCCTGTTCAGGATCACAGTCATTTTTCGGATCCTGAGCATCAGTGAAATATGTAGCATGTACAATGGAAAAAAGTCAGCAAAAACACAGACTTCTTATAAAATCTTCATCTGACAAGCCATGTTGTGGTTTGCATAATGCTTTAAGCACACGGACTTGCGACTACAGAGACTCCTGCTTGGCATGTCCTGTCAAGATTTCAGCCATGCTCTTGATACCATTTGTTCCTTTATCTGAAGCCCAGACTTCTATCAGGTAAAAAATCATTGAGGTTCATGATTTTTAGTTCATATCCATATGGAACCAAACTGTAACTGTCTAAAAATGTTTCCTATCTGTATGTAAGTGTCTTCTCTCCTAGATAATCTGTTGTATGGGAAAGGCGTATCAGAGCCGTAGACAAAATAAAATGAGAATTTACAGCAATATTAATATGGAGCTAGTGGCACTTGGTTCCTGCCCATCTCCTGAGGGCATGTTCCACAAGTGTCCTCTACAGCTTTGCAGATTTTGGAGTATTCAATTACCAAGAGAAAATATTTCTCCTACCTTCCCCCGCTGCCCCCAAATCGATTTGTCTGAATGTCCTGTTGCAGAACTACTGTATTCAAATTTGGACATTAGAGATTACAGTATTCTAAATAAGTGTATATTGTTTTCTATGTAAGAAAAGGAAAGGGGAAAAAAGAAGAGGAAAAATCAAAAGAAGTTACTCAGATTACATCTAAAGTCCAGGATGAAATAAATCCAGAAAAATCACATTGGCTACCACCACCTGACTTCATTTTGCTGGATTACATTAATGATGCTTCTAAAACAATTCTACCACTAATTACTACCCGGGAACAGGTTGTGGCTCTTGCACGGTGAGTACCAAATTATATTTCCATAAGTAATGCCAAGAAGTCGAATTGGTAAAATAACCGTTTTCTCACCCAAGGACAACTTTTCCAGTTCTGTTAATTTTCCCATCCTTAATTGGAATCCAAATCAACTTTGGTCCAGAATTTTGACATAATTTTAGATTTTAAGCTTCTTTGTTGTAATTAGTTGTATTTTTTTGAACAAAATATCTCTTACAACAAAAGGGTACACATTTCTCATTTTGAAACTATTCCTATAGACAATATCAGTTTTTTTCACATTTATATATCTGTACTGATCGTTTCCAATGAACACATCGGCTGCATATGGCATACATATCATCAAGGAGCAGGAGAGACCCAGGTGCTGCAGAGCCTAAATCCACCAGCTAAAACCCTAACCTGGTAGTCAAGACTGTTGCAACTTGTATCGTGTCTGTGCTTTCTTTTACAATCTTTCTTGCCTAGTTGGTTTGGAAACCCCTCGGGACAGGAACTTTCTTGTATTTTGTTTTTGCTATAGAGCCAAAAGCATGAGACATTTTTCTAATGTCGTATTTAGGTGCTCTGTAATTAGTGTCCTGATGATTTAATAGTGCCAGAATATTGCAATTGAGAGTGAACAGACTGTTGTTACCAATGTGTGATTCATTAGTTTCACTGACTACTCAGCCTGGGCACCAATCACTGTCATCTTCAAGCAGTGTGTCTGCTTTCATCTTCTCCTTATTTTAACCTTTACTATCATAGCAGTTTCCTTGCTACCTCCCGAATCTGGAGAGTTTGGCGTCAGATCCCACTGAGTTTCACAAAATTTGTTTCTTCTACTAACTCTCATTTGTGGTCTAACATGGTATGAGGAATGACTTTTCTGTTGTTTGCAAAATTTGACAGGACAGATATTAATCCTTAACTCTCCAGCTATGTATAAATCATGCTGTCTTCCTCAAGGTGGAATCCATAAAATGCTCTTTCAAATCTGCTCTTCAAACACACCAGTGAAATACTTGCAGACACACAACCCAGCAAAACAATCACGGGAAATTAAGCAGAATGTTTTCTGTGGGGATTTTTATGTGTATGTTCCATTTTAAGCAGCTGCCTGAATAGCGTGTGTTGAATGGGAAGGGGAGGAGGAGGCAGCTGCAGCAGCCCTCGGCAGCCTGGCAGCTTGAGCAGAGTTCCTGCTGTGCTCACCGGGGAGGGAGCCGGGGTAGATGCAGGAACACGCAATAGTGCTGGCTGTCTCCTTTTAAACAAACGCAGCACATCTTTGTGCGCACACAGGAGTGGTGTGCACGTCGGCTCGAGAAGCTTTGCTGTCTTTACTGAGGGCTGGCCGGAGGCACAAGAGGCACAAGTGGCTGCCTGGAGCCCCCTGCTTCTTCAGGTTCACCCAGTAATTCCCAGCTGCAAGATACCGTGTCTAGCCTGCTCGGTGATAACTCCTGTGCCCATGCTGTTGCAACCGGTACCTCCTCAGGCCCTAGGTTTTGAGAAATAAGGCCTCTGAGGTTGCCTCACATGGTCTGTGCGAGGTGGTCCACAGTTACTGCAGAGGAGGTGATGCAGATTTTAGCTCCCTGTCTGAAGCAGTGGCTTCTGATTCCCATGTCAGCTCTGCAACACCTTGTCCAGAGTGAGAGCCCTCCACAACACTTGTGCCTTTGGCTGGGGATGCTGTGAGGAACAAAGGTCTTTACATACAGGGGCCGTGCATAGGGGAGGTGAAGGCGTGTGTATGAGGAGGTAGGGACTTACAAATCAGGACTTCATCCGTGTGTGCACAGTCACCCAAAAGACATGCTTTTGGCTGTATTTGCACAGAATGTGTGTTCTGATCTTCTGTTTCTGTAACGGAGACACTCTTTTTAATGGATAAATACACACCTCTCACCCCCAAATACTGGCTTCAATATGAGAAAGCACACGTAGAAGTTGAAGTACCCTTTGTGGATATAGTTGCTTTCCTGTGTTTGGATCATTACCTATGGCTTTATTTTTGTCATATATATTCTCATGCCTTAATTACTATTGCAAACAAATGGTAAGGCTGGGGATTGTAATACATAGCTCACGTAATCTGTTGGCTGTAAAGATGAACACTAGCTTCCGAGCTACTTCCTCAGTAATTACACTGTTATTGATGATTTTCTCTGAGGACTTTGTGCCTACACTAGACCACTCCAGAATCTCTCCTGACCATTGTTGCATCTTGGTTTAGGTTTGTGAATAATGTGAATGACCTGAGTTATGGTAATCTGTATTTTAACAGTGAGCATATTTAAAATACCAGTTACTGAATAAAAAAAAAGAAAGCAAACATAGCATATGTATTAGACTTATGTGTCATTCACTTATTGCTTGTATACATTTCATTTTGCTGCATTTTGTGCTAAATACAAGAGGAATTATAGATGTAATTGATCCTGCTATACACTGGAACAGGTTTGTTGCAGACAAGATGGGTGGCCCAATTGAAAGAGACAAACTACGTGACTTCAGCTGGGAACTTCACATAAGTGAAATAGAGTTTGAACTGAAATGCAACGTTGTGCCTGTCGGGAAAGTCAAAAAAGGGACGTTCTGCCACAGGGCTTTACTTTTCAAGGTACATTAACATTTATTTTACAACATAACATATCGATGTTAAATGTATATTATAAACTAAAGTATACTTACATCAGTATAATATAATATTTATATTGGTGTAAAATCTTTTGTATACACTTAAGTCATTTTTCACTAGCAAAGTCAATTTCCCAGTGAATGAAAGCCAGCATCGCTTCTTTCTGTAAACATTCTTCTTGTCATTAAATTGTCTTAAGTGATATCAGGAGAATACTTGATAAATGGCAAAAAGCCAAAATACTTTATCGGGAATCAAAACATTTCACATTTTCTGTAAACTGTAAAATATCGAATTATGCAGCTTCCTTTTTTTTTTCCATGCTGCAAATTTAAACTTGTTGGGACAATTTTTATTTGGTATCTATCCAGTATTCTGTGAGAGTATGTAACAGCTTTTACCTTCTAGTTTCTTAGACTGGGGAGATTAATTTATTCTGTCTTCATGTGACGATGTACTGGTGCAGCCTGCTTATCTGTCCCATCCCTTTTCCTTGGCTGTTGGGTAGCTGGACTTCTCTCCTTCTTGGATGGAAAGGAAAAGAGAAGCAAGGGCCTAGCCTGTTACATGGGGAAGACCTGGGAAACAGTACACAGGAGAAAGAGCACAATCCTAAATTTATGGTATCCATGGGGAGAGAAAGTTCCCGACATATTTTATGGAGGTCTGAGAGCATGAATTAATGGTGCTGAAACAGCACTGATGTTCACTTCTCCTTCACTGTCCTAAGAAGCCTTTGTAGGGATGGATCATCTCTCTTAAAGCCACAGCAGTCTAAGCAATGGAGATCCTTGTCCATTTGTAACAAGTTAAAAATCTTTCAGGACCTCATTCCTTCACAGCAGACGCATTCTGAGAAAGCAGTTTGGTAGCTGGAAACAATTATAGGTCTGTCAGTGCTAGCGCAGCACAGAGGAAAGGCAAGTGTTTCATCTAGCAGGCGCTTGCCTCGTGTTTCATTGCTTCCCACATTCGCAGGGCCGAAAAGCAAGGAGCATGCTTTGGAGTGAAGCAGCAGTCCTCAACTCACGCTGATAAAAATGTTGCATTTTTACACTCCATATTTCGTACTGGCTATATGTGTGCACTGTACCTACACCTCGTTGCTTGAATAGACAGTTCTCCAGAACGTTATTCAGAAATAGGTCTTCCAACTAGCAAAAAACCATTGCTGGGTACTGTGGGTGTTGCACTTCATTTGAGATCTGAAGGACCGGCTGATAAACAAAGGTATCACTGTCTGAAAACAGTTTAAATGAATGTTTTTCATGTTGTACGTAGAATATGGTAGAAATAACATTTAAAACCCTACACTTTTTAAGTAGACCCAACAATAAAGATTTGCAGTTTGGAGCACTTCAAAGATTTACAAAGTCTGTTTCAGGAAAGCTCTTGGCCTTTCAGGTATTTGTTTTCTTTTTAAGCATCTCTCAGCCTTGCTGTGTATCACAGAAGCTACACGTATTAATTGTGATTAACTCATTTTTCTTTCCAGGTGATAGCAGACAGAGTTGGCATTGGCTGCAGTTTAGTTCGTGGCGAGTATAACAGAGCTTGGAATGAAGTTAAATTGGTTGATGACTCTCCTCAAGGAATAGCTGGGCTTCTGCTTCCTCCTCAAGAGTATATTGTAGATCTAATGTTTGAGCCAGGCTTTTTGATAAAACAGGGAAGTGCAGAGGCAGATCAGTACACACGTATCTGATCATCTTGACAAATTTCCCCAAAATAACTCTTTTAAAGATGTTTGCAGTGCTAATATTTTTCAAACATAAGGGGTTTCAGGTCCAGCTATCAAAAAGAAACATATCTGGTATGTTGTCCTAAACACTTAGTTAAATATATTTTATGTATCCAACTTCAATGTTTAGAAATGTTCTTAATTTTTTGGTACTGTTTTAAGAATATGCTGTAAAGCTACAGATTAAAATATGATAGATCAAGAATATTTGGTATGTGTTAACATTATAATGCTTATTAAATAGGTTTAAATTATTTCCAAAATACCGTATATTCCTTTTTGTGTTATGTTCCTTCAAATCCTATGCACATTTATGGGAATTATACATCCATGAAGCAAGAAAATGTGACATCTAGTGAAATAACAAGTCACCTAAAAACAACTGGACAATTTTTTTGTGAACTAACCCAAGAACTGAGAATTAGAAGAACTAAGATAACACTATACTTTCAGCATCTATAGAAAAACATCCCATTTATTTTTCTTGGAACTTGGCAGAGTTAATAATTACAGATAATAACATACTCTGATGAAAGTAAATAGTTTTTCCTGGCACAGGGAATACAGATGATTGATAAGTTATTGCTTGCAATCTCCCTTTAAATTCTTTATTTTTCACTTGAAGATAAAATGGACTCTGAGAAGGTGGCAGTTTTAGACAAGGAATTTGTATTTCCAGCAGCTTTGGGTAACGAGATGTTGCTGAAGTGTTGCTGAAGTGTTTACCTCTAAGGTAAGCGAGGTAAAACACTAGTTGGAACACTCTTTTAAACGCTTCCTGGTGACACCATCAGGAATGTACTGGATTTTTTCAGGGAGCACCACTATCAAGTGAGTTTACTCTGGAAAACTGAGAAAAAGTTCTGCACAGAAGTTAGGCCAATGCAGACAACATTGTGCAAAACGGAATTTCGGAAGACCAGAACAGCAACAACAAGGCATTTACTTCCTGCTCACCAGAAATGTGATAAAAACATTTGGGGTCTGTGTTCTTTTGTTTTTTTAATGTTTGTATAACATTAGTTATAGTCTGTATAGTTATAGTTTGTATAGTCTGCTTTGGTTTGAGGAGGTTTGTGTCTGTTGTATCCATTACTGCTTGTGAGCATGGTCCCACCACTCCCCCTCCTTCCTCCTCGGACATGCAGCATGATTTTCTGGTAGCCCTTTGGGGAACAATTTATCTTTCTGCTGTAAATTCACTTATATGGCCTCATGTTCATTTTTATACCTTATGTTCAGCAGTGCTTTAGACATCAGAATGAAAAAAAACTCTGGAAACAAAATACCCAGTGTGCTAGCAGCCCTGAGTGAAGGTGAGGATGTGTTTCTTATCATTGCTATGTAGCAGGTAGGGGACTGATGAAAAGTGATGCGCTGTCACTGACAGGCATAATTGGGTATGGAAACCTACAACGTTGAAAGTGCAGTAAATGGAAGTAAAATTAGAATTAATTTTCTACTAGCTATCATTTTGTATAGTTTTCCTACATTGGAATTACGTTATTTTATATTGGACACATAATGTTAAAATGTCTTATTCTGTTTGAGGAGATCTTGAAAAACAAAGCAATTTCTCGTTTCTAATAGAAGTCAATATTAAAAAAAGACAAAATGTTTTTAAAAATAAAAATTGGGAAACTTCTAGTATAAGCTTGCTTTACATAGAATTATTAGGTAAACAAATAAAAAAAAAGTACTGCACAGTCTCGTATAATGCAGAATTTGATGATCTATCTGTTAACCTGCTCTGTCCTTCACCTTCCCTCATTTTTTGGTTTTACTCTTTTTGCATCTCCTCTCGAGGATATTTACACACACACAAGCACAAGTGTAGCAGCACACAGCAATGCACATGAGGGGAAAAACCTGTGCTGGCCGTGCATGTGTTCACCCCCTGTTCCTGCAGGTTGGCAGTCTACGTGTTGAGGCATGTCATCCCAACAAGCCGTACTAGCGGGGGTGTGCGGGGATGCTGGGAGCTGCTTTGGAGTCATAACATTGAGCAGAGTAACCCCAGCTGGTGGTGGGAGCCCAGGGGTCTGGAGGGTGACTGGGAAGGCAGGATTCAAGCTCCAGGGTCCTTCCTCCAGGCGTCCTGAGCTCGCTTGCATGATGCTTTGCTGACTTGCTTTTGAAACAACCCCAGGCCAGCACCACTTCCCTGGAGGGGCTGCTTCTGCCTGATGGCAGGACCAGCCAGGCACTGGGGTATGTGTGAGGCACGTGGGCGCTGCTCAGGGTAGTTCAGACCCACCTTTCTGCTGCACGGGCCTGCTGCCATGCGGGTGCTCGGGCTCCGGGGTGCTGGACGGGGAGAGCATCCGCACTGCCACCACTGGGATTTGGCCGTGCTGGAGCAGAACGAAGTCAGTCGCAAAGTGGTTTCGTCTTTTCACCACAGGAAAGAAAACACACTGATAAACATCAGTTTGGTTGTGTCGTTATGAACCACAGGCATTGCTTGGCAGGAAAAAATCCCCCAAATCTATGGCCAGTCTCTCCTCAACAAACTTTGCTGATGGTACAGCACTGGCAAAACCCTTACCACACCTTGACAAAAGACCTCTTTTTCACCAGTGTAAACTATTTCCCTGAGCTACAGAAGCTGAAAATGAGCTCCTTCAATGCCATACGTTGGATCTATGTGAGGCACTTGCAGCCCTTCAGGCCAGAGGAATGCCACCCAAACGCTGAGAAGTGGGGCTGACCGTGCAGTGAGCTCTGGGAGGCAGGACCTTGCCTGCGGATGGCAGGGGTGGGAATTAGCTAAAACATATTAACTACTGAGTGCTGAGCAACTCATCCAAGATGCCGTGAAGCACTATACAGCAATGAAACCACGTAATACAGCACAGATACACACGTACAACTGCCTCCTGGCACATCCAGAAAGCAAAGCCTGTATCACTACAGCTGTGCCAAGGTGCCTCCTCCCTTCCCAGGCAGCTGCACCTCTCCACAAGCGAGACAGAGGGAATCGACCAGAGGACTCTGCTCCAGCATTTCCATGGGCTTTGCAATTCAGCTGTGTGGACTTGGGGCGTGATTTTTTCACACTCTTTACCAGTACAGCTATTACAGCAGAACTTTGCAGATAAATTAACAGCTCTTTAGCCCTCTTAATGAGCTAATTGTCTTTCCATTATACAAGCACTGGCTCTGACAAGAAAAGATAACAGAAATATTGGAATAACTTTATCTGGCCTTCCTTGTCCACTCTTACCCAGGCAGAATTTAGAGTGCAGGTACAGGTAGAGTACGTGCAGAAACAACAGAAACACAGAGGAAGAGACACACACACACACACACACACACACATATCTTGGAAGGGGCATGGAAGAAATGAGTGTATTGGAGACACAATGAGCTAGTAAAAGCTTTTCTGTCATTAAGGAGTGAGCTTATTTGCATGCTAATGAACCAGCTAGTTCTTCCAGCTCATTGATGTTTCACTGACATGCTGAGATGCCATCTATGGAAACCATGTGCAAAGCATAATTGAAGCCAGTTCTTTCTTGAATTTGGATAAATGTTGGGGGAAATACAGCAAGACGAGGAAAGCAATCATGTCAAAGTAGGCAAAAGACCCTGTCGCTCATGCAGCACTTTGCCCAGGCTATACCCACCTGCTCAACCAGGTGCCTCATTCTAGTCCTACCTTGCAAGTGAGCACAGCAGAGGGTTTTGACCCTGCCTTCCAGCAGTCCTAACGCTTGGTCCATGCACGATCGCCTTGCCTATTTTAGAATAAGAGGCCAAAAAGGCTCTTCAGCAAAAGACTGTTCTAGAAAGTGCAGTGCCATTAGGTTTTGCAGGGAGGTCTACCTGAGAGCAAACCTTTTCCAGTTTACATAAAGATTTAGAGCTGTCACTGCTGTTTCTCACTCCCTCATCCATGCTGCATAAAACTGCCAGAAGTAACAAACTCCTCCATAGCATGTGACATCTTTCCCCTTTGTGGTGCCACCACTGTGCAAGTTTGCTTTAAGACATGGTGCTACCTTCTTGTGGAACAGAACCTCCTCCAAAACCAGTTCACCCGTCTGTTGCAAGAAAGGCTGAGCTAACTCCCCAACCAGACACCTCAGTGCATGCTGGTCCCACATCTAAATTGCAGCTCGTAGATGCAGTGTGCCCTGTTTCTTTGTTATTACTCTCTCTTGCTGTTTCCAGATGTCCCTAGATTGTCTTACTGTTTCTGATATTCATCTCTTGTGTTTTCTAACCTACAACCTCCTACAGATCAGCAGTGCTTCCTCGTTATAACAAGGATTTGGAAAAAAACATGCCATAGCAAGTTTTTAATTCCTTTTTAATGTGAACTTCTCTAAACAAGATGCTTTTAGTTACAGAGTTTGAAAGAAGATTCCTTAAAGGCCAGGTGTCAAAAAGGTATTCAAGAGTCAAAAGGCTTTTCAAAATGTCAAGTCATTAGTTTTAATTGGCATTCGGGAACAAATTATGAAAGGGTGGAGGTCTGTTCAGTGTCCCAAGATGTAAGAGATTTTGGTAATGATGTCTAATTTCCACCGTTGGAAAATTAGTGCATTCTCTGACAAATGGGCACTCTTAAGACACAGATTATCTATGGTAGATCATACAGAAGAATCACGTGCTGTGAGTGCCAATTTCTTTTCATTATGCTGTTCTTGCTGTAGACTTCTAATATAAATGAGTTTAATCCTAGATCCACTTGCTGTTAATGGGAGCTGCAGTACCGTAAAGACAGCTAGATGGCTAAATGCTGGCCCTTAGGTATAAATATATGAAAAAAAGTCAGGGGCCATAAGACCAAACATTCAATGAGCTTAGAGCTATTTGGGTATTAAATTCTTTCAGGAATTCCCAATGACAAGACAGCTAAGTGTCAGGAATTAATAGGGACTGGGGCTTTGCAGTGCTGGGCCAAATGCTATGTTGGGTGTAATTATCTCAGTTTCCGCAAGCCGAGCACTGTGTAG